ATTTCAAAATTTAAATTCGATACAAAAAATTTTAACGAACATATTGCAGAGTCTAGTGTACAAAGTCTATAAAGATGTTACTTCAACCACGCACATGCAGTGTTATACGAGTATTTTCTTCAATCTCCACTTAAATCAGACACAAAACTTGTTCTCTATCTTGCACTCTTTCTTCATCACAGGGATCTTAAGCCTCACATATTCATGGTTCGACAGACAATGTTGCTTATGATAGCAGATTTGGGATTAACTCGAATATTTACTCTTTCAATGAAGAAATACACTCATGAGGTAAAGTTTGTTTCTTTGTTAATTGTCCTACTGTATGCAAAATATAGCATCTTCAAATATTTGTCAACTCTAGATGTCTTTATATTTTTACAGATTTTAGTTTTATAGCACAGGCCTCCCAAAATCCTTTCGGGAGCTATCCGTTACTTAACTGCAATAGATGTGTAGTTTGTTAGTTGTATATTTAGTACACATCATTTTTTAGTTTATTTTTTAAGTCTTTTTTTACTTGTATGTTTGATTAATTCTTCTTTTTTATTCTGAATTAGTAGAGTTTGTTACTAACCAAACACTTTTTGCTGGAGATTTTGAACTCCAACAGCTCCTACATATTTTAAGGGAACATGGTTATTTTGATAATGCAAAGAAAAGAAAGGAAAATAAAATAAATGAGAAGAAAAGGAAAAGGAAAAGAAAAGAAAAGTAAGGAAAAGAAGAGAATAGAAAGGAAGAGAATGGAAAGGAAAAGAAAAAAAAGGAAAGGAAAGGAAGGAAAAGAAAAGAAAGCTAAAAAAAAAGAGGAAAAGAAGAAAGGAAAAGAAAAGAAAGGAAAGAATGGAAAGGCAAAGAAGAGAAGAGAAAGGAAAAAAAAAGAAAAGTAAAGAAGAATGAAAACATATATATACATGCATACCTACATACGTATGCAAATATGTATACATATGTATATATACATACATATATATATATGTATACATGCATACAAATGCATATATACATATATACATATACATACATGGATACATATATATATATATATGCATACACACATACATATGCATTATGCATACATACATATATACATACATTCATTGGTACATACATGCTTGCATCTGTACATACATACATTAAAACGTACATACATACATGCATGCATACATATGTATATATATTTGCATATATGCATGCATACATACATACGTACATTCATAAATACATATATATGCATACATGCATACATACATACATATATACATACATTCATTGGTACATACATGCTTGCATCTGTACATACATACATTAAAACGTACATACATACATGCATGCATGCATACATATATATATACATACACATGCATGCATACATACATACGTATATTCATAAATACATATATATGCATACATGCATACATACATACATACATACATACATACATATACCTAAAGGGAGCATTTAGAGCTTTTACTACAATTTTTCTGTATCCTCAAAGACGCTAAATTCTATGTCAATTTAAAAATTTTATATTTATGCAAGAATAAATTCTCTTTTTAATGAAGAGTCTTAAGTACTAGAAAAAACTATCTATACCTAAAAAAATTAAGTTAATACAAAAAATTGTGGTCATTTTATTTCTAATTTTTCATATATAATTGAAAATGGAAAAGATTAATCAAGAGTTAAAAAATTATAGTACTATCTACAGTAAGCATTTTTCTTCTCTTTCTCCGTCATTTTCTTCCTACTATTGGTTTTATTAAGTTTTATATATGTTTATGGTATAAAGCTCAAACCCGAGACTGGAAAAGTTTGAAACCGTGACCGAAATGTAAGAAAACTGGACCATTTCTCTGTTCGATTTTGGTAGATATTGTTATCGTTGTTCTGAAACCATTTATGGAAGTATTAAACCTTAACATGTCTAATATGGAATTTATTTTCAAATTAATCATTTTTTTCAAGAGCCGACAGAGCTTTTTAAATTATTTTCTTATCTTCTTTAAGTTTTAAACGTTAATTTTTAGTTGCATGCATTTATCTATTGTTCTAAATTGGTAATGCATTACTGTTTAATCTCCATAACTAACGAACACAAGGAAACAACGAGTATGTGTGTGTGTGTGTGTGTGTGTGTGTTTGTGCATGCAGGTGTAAGTGTTACCAGTTTTGGCCAGATATTATGGTGAACACTATTATAGATATGTGTCTCAGTCAGAAGTGATTAAGAAATCTCATACCAAATATGGTTTGAAAATTGTTTAGCGGTACTCATACTAGACGGAGTATGGGGCTTTCCATTAATTGTTAATTGATGATTGTTATGAGATATTCATTACCATATACAAATTAGAAATTCTATTATTAATTAATTGAGAATTTGATTGTTAATTGATTTGGAATTGGATCCATTATGTACAGTAATGGGGATCCATTATGTACAGTAATGGGGATCCAATTGTTATTGATTGATTTTTGTATAGTATCTACATAGTAAAAGAGATCCTGATTGCCTTCAATAGAACTGGTAAAAATGACATCATGCGATGAAATTCTAAAATAAATATAAATGAATATACGAATAAAAAAAAATGCAAATCTACACATTAAATTATACATACGTGGATAATGGTAATGTTTCATGAAAATATTTGTATTGGTATCCGTATTGTGGATGTGATTGCGTTCGTTCTAATCTAATTCTTATATGTTAATAGAAATATAATTATAAAAAAAAAGCGTAGTAAAAATAAAAAAAATAGTTATCATTAATAAAATGTTAATTGATAGCCAAAGAAACGATGAAGATATAAGAAAAAAGGAAACAATATTAACTTAGCGGAAACAAATAGAGGAAAAAGAATAAATGAATAGTAGATTAAAAATAGAATATTAGAAAGTTTTTCGAAAAAGAAGTAACATAAAGTAACAAGATAAAAAGTTTTGAATTTAAAATCGATTTCGTAAAACCATTAACTTTGTTCGTAGTTTTTAAAATTTTTACTAACACTTAAATAAATTATTTCTTAATAAATTATTATATATATATATTATCGAACAGGTGTAACTCATCTAAATTTTTTATGTTTCTTTTCAAATCAGAATAATCTGTATTAAGATCATAATTGATACAAACTTCAACTTCAACGAGAAGGGTATTGATAATTTTGCAAAGAAATTAGAGGTTGATTTTATCTTTTAGTTCTTGAATTTTATAGTCCATAATTGTGTCACCATTAATATATTCATGTAATATAAATACATGCAAGAGATGTTTATGAAAATATTAATTTTAAATGGTGCGCATTTGTAAGATACATACACGTGTGGTTGTGGTGGCGTCTCCTCTCAAAAGAGAAGGTAGAACGCTACGCCATTTTTTTGTTTTGCTTGTCCACCACTTTTTCATATTCCAGTAGCTCTTACGAAACTAGAACTTCTCTGTTACCTGCTGGAAAGTGCACCAGAAATCTTCAAGCGATGGTTCAACCTTGCCGATTCAGGTTAGTTATTCTTGCTTTGTCTATCTTCATCAAGCAATACAAAGTTAGAAACCATTCTGGCCCTGTTTATTGGTTAACCACAAGGTGCTGATTAGGTGTTCTTCGTTTGTCTACTGGATGGAGATGGGCGTGTTACTGGAATTTTTTTACTATTCCGCGAAATTTTTTGCTTTGCGGAAGCTCTCCAGGCGGGAACTCAAACAGGTGCTTTAACGCTTTCAAAACTCAAATCACTTTTGGAAAATTGATGAGTTCTGGTATTTGTTTGTATGGAATTTTTATCGGTATTCTTATTTTTGATTTAATATATATTTTGAGTTTGTATTTTCGTCTTTGAGAGCAGTGTCTCTCTGCTTTTGGTTTTGGTGATTAAATAATCAATAGGATTGATTTTGGACTATATGATATGCCTGCGTAATGTTTTATTCTTGGTCTTTTAATGGGAGGCAAATACCATTGAGAGTATTCAGCAGGTGGGAAATATCCCCTTCTGTGGGTTGGTTTTTAAGAGGATTACACAAGGAAGCACTAACTAAAGTTCTTTGTCCTTAGACACGGGAATTCATTTCTCGGGTTAATTGAGAGTTACCAATTTTTTAGGGACTAGTTTTATCTATCTTGTCCTAAGGGTGATGTTTTAATAAATATTTATGTGCATATAGAATGTCTCAATGAAAGTAGAGTTTCTTCCAACACACGAGAGATCTTAAGGAGCCCTTACCTCCATTAAATATTGGATCACAGAAGGTGGAGATCAAGTAAACATTCTAAACATCTGCTAGATTTTCAGTCAGTAAACCCATAATCAGATCCTAGTAAAGGCACTCTAACACATTTCAGGTTGTAATTGCTCATGATAGCATTCATAATTTGCAAAAAAACCAATTCAACAAAGTTTAGAAGATAAACGTAGTCTATTGCTATGGATTGGAACCAAATTGGAGATTGTAAGAATGCTTAAACTTGTCCATGGAGAGAGATACAGAGACATGCTCTAATTTTAGAAGCCAGTTAGACATCTCCTTCAAGATGGAACCATGAAAAAAGGCTTGTCCCAGCTTTTTCATATGCTTCTGTATTATGGCTCAAGGAGGTACTCCAGCAGTTGAACCGACCTATTTGTTGCCTAATAATCAAAGTTGGGAAACTCCAGTTGGGTAACACAGGTACCCCTTCCTACAGTGTTATGAACCTCACCTGGTCCTAGTTCTGTGATGACTCTTTGGTGATCGGCACTACCTTCAGCCCTTGTCAGCTAGCAACTATCTTCTGTTTTACTTAAGTTGTAGCATGATCATTTTCACGGTTTAATATGTTTTGTTCCCTCCTCTATGATCAATGGCTGGTTTTCTCATTGCGATTCAGGAAAGCTTCCTGTATTGGAGATCAGAAGTCATAAAGTACGGCTTTGATACCAGCATGTTATAGGTTCCGTTAGTTGGGACCTAATTATAGGTTTACTGACCTGGAAATGTAGCTTATGATTGGAGTGTTTACTTATATTTCTGCCTTTTTGACCTATTGTAAGTGGAGGTAAGAACTCACTAAAGAGAGAACTCCTCAATCTCTTAAGTTTAGAAAGAAGCTGCATTTTTATTTAGACTAAATCTGAATACATTTTCTGTTGCTGGTATTGCTCATTTCTATACAACTTCTTAGGTCAGGATAAGAAAATTAAACCAACCCATAATGAATAGATAACTCTCAGTTAAGTGAAGATCCCCTCATCTAAAGAGAAAGAAACTGCAACAGGTTGGGAAATAAATTGAACTAAACTATCTACACGTGGGATGAGGTGGATTTGTCTGTCTCTTGCTTCAGTGTGTAAATGTCTTATAAACCTATCCATTACAGGGGGATATTCCCAGCTGCTGATTGTTGTCACTAGTTTGATCATGTTGATCCTTAACAAAGTAAGAATCAGACCATTTGGAAGGGAACATTCTGAAGATTAATCTCTATTAGTCTTGCCACATGGACTTTGAATATCGAATTGACTGGGAAATGACACCTTGCTATCAATTAGATTGTATATTTTGAACCATTGTTAAGTAATTAGGAAGTAGTGTGTGGAATAAATAGGGAAGTGAGACTAAAAAGTGTAATACGACGAATTCAGGAGGAGAGTGGAGATCCAACACAGAGAAATAAATTGAAGATATGAGGAACAACATGTTTTTAATGTCAACTTGAATCATGATGAGTCTCATCGACAGTTTCAACTTGAGGTAACATTTCTAGTTGAATCAATTCATACTTGGGTGAAATGTGGGTGAAATGTGTACATGGACTCATTAATCATCATTTGAAAATAGACCTTTAGTCAGTAATCTCACTAAAGGAAGATACTCTGAGTTGCCAACTATCCCACCAGTTAGAGAACGGTGGGTTAGAAATGACTTGAAACATGCCTATATGTGCTTCAAACACTCTTCTCGGGTTTTAGGATCTCAACCTTCTCACACCAGTGATGCAGGAAAAACTTCACAAAAATAATTTATTTTTGAAACTAAAAAGTTGCAACTGATGCTATTGGAAGCGAGATCAAATGCTAATGCATTTATTTCACTGGTCATTTTATAGAGGTTTTGGATTAAAGATAATATGAGTGGGAAGGTGTAAGACCCCCCTTGTGATGTATTAAACACGATTAGCATGATTGCTTTGTTATTTAATTCTTTTTTGCTTTTTTTTATTCTTCTCCTCTTTTTTCTTCTTTTTTCTATACAACTATATTAATGTATGTGCAGTGATCAATCATACACGTATAAGAACTTATAAATTTAAATGTTCACATGATCAAAGAGGATGGAAATTTTGAAATATTCTAAGGAGAGCAAGTTACCAAAGAATACCTCAATTTTGAAGAGAAAGCCACTTTCTGGTCAAACTCAAAGCCGAAAAGCTAATTAGCTCTCCCTTCCCCCTCCGCCATTATCAATTATCCTTCAAACAAGTTGCTCAAAACAGTTTCGAAAAGGCACAAAGTGAGTGGGTAATCATATCGATGAATTTAGTGTCTTGTCTACCTCCCTCCTCTCTCTATTTTCAATCTCCACTTCCCTTCAACTCTTTGCACATAAGTATTACCACCCTCAACTATTCTCTCCCTTATTAATCTCTTTCATTACACAACTTTCACTAAGTCAAACCAAACAACTCATAATTAAAATCTCTCAAATATCGTGCATAAATGAGAATTCAACCTCTCACTGGCTTTCAAAAGAAATAGGCAATTCACAGAAAATCATTTTGCAAATTATTATCATTTAACAAGCAAATTAATGATAAGAATTAACAAAATAAATTAAACTCAAAGACCTTCAATAAATCAACTAAAATAGAATACTTAATAAACCAAGTGATCAAAGATTAATTTTACTAGTATAAAGGGACAAAATGAAAAAGAAAAGTAAGTTGTACTAAGAGATAGAAAATACAAGAATAAGAACTCAAGAGTCAGTATACTAGTAAACAGATGTTGGCCTGTAAGATAGGTCTAGTATTCAATTCTTTCAGAATTTTCTTTATAAATTCTCCATTTTCGATGTGAACAGCTTATTTTTAACAAACTTGAACAGAATTTGGTCTAGATTAAACTCTTAATTGCTAACTTTTCTTTTTATTTTTTTAAGGGTAAAGTATTCTTCTAAGATAAAAGACAACAAAATGCACAACAAAGATTATTTTGAAGAGAGCTAAACACAAAGACTAAAAAGAGTCCCTTGATTCTTTGGCAAGCGAATAAAGACATAGCCCCCTAAAATAATTTTCTCGAAAAACTATCTATTCCAGCCCATAAACAGGGAAGAATACCATTCCATTCTAAACAACACGAGAGTGTTGAATGTATATGTTGTAACTATATAACAACCAGTTAAGAGAACACCATGCCATAAAATTTTAAGCTCCTTCTCATCCCAATTGAACAATCTCACTGAATCGGTTCACCAAGGTCAAAAACAAGAATCAAATAAAGAACGAAGGACACAAGAGGTATTGAAAATAGAAGACCTAATTGTCTCTGAAATTTGAGGTACCCAAGAAGAAACACAATATCTTCCTCTCTCTCTTTGTTTTAGAAAGCTAGATTACGTGAAAAATAAACTTTCAATATCAAAAGTTCTCTCTCTCTCTCTCTCTCTCTCACACACACACACACACACACAGGCCTCCTCTTGGCAAGATCGCCCAGGTTCCTCCTTCTCTTGGGTGACCCTTTTTCTTCAGCTGCTTTATCCTCTCCTTGGTCCATTTCTGCATCATTTGAAGTTCCTTCCACCTCAACATTGTCATTCACCATATCATATCGCTTGGCATATAGAGGTTGATATAACTTCTGATATTTGGCTTCAAGTGCTGTTCTTTTCTCCAAAAACTTTGCCTCTAATTCATCATGCTACCCTGAGTCTCCATTAGAACCTCAACACGTTTTTTGACTTTTGCTTATAGATTCTCGAGGGCATCAGAGTGCTGTCCAGCCAGATTCTGAAGCTTACTCTTGAGAGCAATGCCCTCCTCGTTAAGAGCAGCATTGAGTTTGGCTACCTTGAAAGTATCCTTGTTGCCACTCATCTTTGATTTGTAAGAGACGATCACAGAGAGAGAGAGAGAGAGAGAGAGAGAGCGAGAGAGAGAGGAGGCTAAAACCCTAGATTTTAGGGGAGTAATGGAAAGAGAGGAAGAGATGGTGGAGTGTTATTCTTTGATAGAACCAAAAGCCAAGCAGATCAAGGAGCTGAAAAAGCAAAACAAAAGATGTAGGGAACAGGTGCAGGATGCTTAAAATTCTAAGAATAATACTAAACTGAAAATCCTGGATACCAAATACAGAGTGCATTATCTTCAAAAGCAATTAAATGAGGTGGAAGCTCGAGTCAATTGTTTAGAAGATGAAATCATTGGTCTAAAGGCGAAGATGGTGGAACTGAAAACTAAAAATCAAAATCTACAGAAAGAGATGAAAATAATGTAGAGCTACAGTTCAAGTTGATCATGTTGAAGCACAAGTTTGAGGGAAGAGGCCCCCCAGAAGGATCAAGGAAGAAGAAATGAGAAATAATTGTGTTTTATTTTTTTCCTCTTTTCTTTTTTTGTCTTCACCTTTTTAGCCTTGCAATTGGAATAAGGAAATGTTATTAATAAATTAATTTCTCTTTAAAGATCTATATGCAATCAATACATAATCTAAACTTTCCAAGAGGCTCCATATAAATTAATACACTAACATCTTATATTTATTCATTCTAGGATTAAAAGATATATCGCCAGAGAGAAGCAATTGTCCAAAACTCATTTGTAACCTGTTCAATAGCCAGAAACATGGAGAACACTAGAAACAGTAGTTAGGGGGAGAGCTCATTCAACCAAAGGTTGAGTGAGATCAATCAATGAATTGATTCAATCGAAAACATGCTGCAATTGATCCTGAACAGGCTAACCCCACCTTGGGCCACAGCAGCTAATGAAGAAATTAATGCACGGATCACAGTCAACACAATCACTGGTGTGACAAACCTCTTAGTGGCGACCTTTGAAATGATAATCATAAGCCTCTCCTTATAATCTATTTGGTGGCCCTTCAAGTGCAATATAAATATTTATTATCTGTCTTGATGGTCTTCGCCTACTCTAAATGCAGACTAATTTCCATTGTTGTTGATGTAGATGACATTAAATTTCCAATTTTTGAAAGGCTGAAATGCTTGGCGGTTGGACAATTCTATATCTTTTTGTATCGCAGCAGACATTGTCCAATTGTCTACCTTTTACCAAATTACTGTATTGGTAATGAGGCAGTAGCTACTTAGCCACAAGACTGATCATCAACTAAATTACTTCAATATCTTCAAAGCAGGTCAGGCTTCTGTTTCATTGTTCTTGATGAAGGAGCCTTTAGATTTTTTTTTTTTAAGTTTTCCTTCCATTCATGTTCTACCTACCTTTTAACCGTTCATTTTGGAGTGTTTTTTCCTCCTGATTTTTTTTATGTGTCTCTGCTAACATATCTGCAGTCAAATTTATCTTCTGATGAATTTGTCATCAGGCCTGGGTGAGGCCGAGTGGTTCAGCCCACTATCAGCAAACCCAAGTCCAGAAAGGGAGCAAAACGCAGCGTTTCATTAAATGCTCAGTAGTAAGGATGCGGTGTAACCATGCTATTCGTGCACTTGAATGGCCGAGGTATAAAGACTTCGCTTTCTCCAAAAACCATTATTCGAGGCGGCTGCATCAAAACCCTAATAGGGTTTTCTCTCGTGGGTGGTGCTGCTGCGCGACTCTCCCAAGGAAGACAAGGTATTTTTCTTGCTTTTTCACCGTTTATTGTTGATGAACATTGATATTTAGGAAAATTAATCGGTGAATCTTTTGTTGCAGAATTGACTAATTCTTGCTTTTTACTTCAGATATTCTCAAGTGCGTCATGATGGTTCGAAGAGATTGTATATTGAAACACTAAATCTACTTAGGATTGAATATCTTTTTAATGATTTTATCTCCGCATTAATGGTGAGTAGATTGAGCTTATCTACAAATCCATCAGTCTGCTATCATAAATTTGGTTTCCTTGATTCATTTTGTGAACTAATTTCTAGGTTTGTGGTGGATATGGATTATCTGGTTAATCAAGCCATGTCCCACACCGATGAAGGCTTTAATAAATTTGTTTCTTATTTTTCTTTTTTCAGACAAGCAACCATGTTCATAAAAACTGATATTACGCTTTTGGGTCAGTATTCAACTCGGATAACAACATTGTTAAAGCTTCTGCTAAAAGTGACCAGCCAGGTTAGTTATAATTTCATTCTCTGTTCTTTTTTTCTTTTTAGGAAAACTAAACTGATTAATCTTATTGTGCAGGAGTTCAGATAGAACCAGAGCCAACTGTAGATTTGTTGCTTTAATGGTATGTTAAGTTGTCTTCTCATTACCATTTTCTTTTCTTTAGATATTAAAGTAGATGGATTAATCCCTTCAACTTCCTATTGAAATTACACGATGGTGAATGAGCTCGCTCGGTCAAACTGATCTATTTGCTTTTTCCGTATTACGCTAGCTTGATTCAATATAGACATCTATAGCTGGTGATCTTATATGCCATCAGACTCAAACACTATTGTAATGCTCTAAGCTCAAATACCTACTAGCCTAACAATTTTTGGAACTAAATTGCTAATTTTAATAGTTCAACT